GGTCTGTTTAGCTATGGCTGGATATTACTTTTCTGTTCTTCTGTTGTTTAGGGTTTTGGGTTCAGGGTTTAGGGCCCTAAGCCTAGATCCCGAACTACCGCTCAAACCAAGCCCCGAAAGTCGTGGCTGTCAGGGCCATTTCTGTCTCAGGGCTCAGGGATGTAGGGTTTAGGGTTTAGGGCTTAGGACCTTCAAGGGTTCCGGGCTTGTCTTTGCAGAGCGAACTGTGCCAAAAGCCCCAACTACAAATCAGGGTTTCGGGTTTGGGGTTTTCGGGTTTAGGGTTTAGGGTTCAGGGTTCTGGGATTCGGGTTTACAAACAAAATCCCCCGAACAAGCAGCATGGTAGGGTCTGAGCCTTTAGGGTCCGGCCCCGGGGTGAAATTTGATCGTGCCGCAAGTAGAGAACAAGGCTTACGCAAGGTCGAAGCCTGAACACTACACCCTACACCCTACACCCTAAACCCTAAACCCGAAACCCTAAACCCTAAACCCCAAACCCGAAACCAGGTTCTTGGGATCATGGAGCTTCGGGGGCCCGAGCCGCACCTTCCCAGACTGCTGGGAGGATCCAAGAAATAGAGCCCGCAAAGAGTACCCTTGGGTTTAGGGCTTCGGGTTTAGGGTTTAGGGTTTAGGGTTTAGGGTTTAGGGTTCAGGGTATAGGGTATAGGGTTTCGGGTTGTACTGTTATACTACTCCTGGCTCATTTTAGGCGCCCTTGAGGGGATCTATTTTTGGATCCTCCCAGGGGTCTGGGTTGGGGTTTAGGGTTTAGGGTTCAGGGTTTGGTGTTTGTCTGGGGCTTAGGGTTTTAGAGCTTGGGGAACCCTAAACCCTTCACAGAAAAGAAACGAAACAATACAAAAAACAAAAATGCCTTCATAAGCCATAGCTGCAGAAGAATGGGATCCAAAAAGACATGCCCTAACCCTAAACCCTACACCCTAAAACCCTAAATCCTAAACCCTAGACCCTGAACCCTAAACCCTAAACCCTACACCCGGCCAACCAGCACTAAGGGCACGGCATGTCCTCCAGGTTCCAGACGGCCTTTTGGGGCTTTGCACTCCAAATCCGTTCAGGGTTTAGGGTTCAGGGTTCAGGGTTCAGGGTTCAGGGTTTAGGTTTAGGGTGCAGCGTTCGGGGAAGCAACTTCACACCCCGAAGTTCCTTGAACCCTAAACCCCCCAACACCCCCTTGCCCCTCCACCGAGAAGCTGCAAACGCCCTTGGGCTTCAGGATTTCAGGAGCTTAGGGTTTAGGGTTAGGGCCTAAACCCTAAAGTTGTTTGGAATTGGGATGTAGGGTTTAGGGTTTAGGGTTTAGGGTTTAGGGTTTAGGGTTTAGGGTTTAGGGTTTAGGGTTTAGGGTTTAGGGTTTAGGGTTTAGGGTTTAGGGTTTAGGGTTTAGGGTTTAGGACGAACATGTGGGCCAATCCCCCCCTCGCTCTCCGCCTCCAGCATGAGATCGTGATCCTCAGTTGTGTCGGTTTCGGGGCTTGTAGGTTTAGGACCCCTAATAAACCCCAACCCCTAAACCGAAACCCCCCTATACCCCATACCCTGTACCCTATAAAGCCATTATACCCTATAAACCCCAGACCCTAACTTAGGCGTTTAGGGCTGGTTAGGGCTGATGCCTCGAACGTCCGGGCTTGAGGGCGTGTTGCGTTCGCCACCCTCAACCCTAAACTCGAAACCCTAAACCCTAAACCCCCTGAAACCTAAACTCCCTGAAACCTAAACAACTGTGGCGCACCTAGGAGCTCCATGGTTCACCGGCTTCAAGCCGAAAATTTTGGGGAGGCCCGTTTCGCTGGCGTGGGTGTTTGGGGTTCAGGGTTTAGGGTTTAGGGATTAGGGTTTAGGGTTTAGGGTTTACGGCTTAGGGCTTGGGGTTTAGGGTTGAGGGTTTTAGGGTCTGAGGCTCAGACAAGTATAGAAAAACAAGGGTTATGATGTCGGTTTGATATGTTTAAGGCTCGCGCAACAGTACATCTCGTTGAACACAGGGTCCAGGTTTTCAGGCAGAGATTTAGAGGGACACCAGGTTGTGGGCCATAGGTTCCCTGCACCGACGCAAGCCTAAATGATTGGACCCTCTCCATAGCTGCTCCCCAAGCGCATCGTAGGGTCGCGGTTGTATGCAAGGAAAAACCGCTTGTGGGAGAAACGTCGTAAGCCCTAAGCCCTGAACCTTATAAACCCTGATAACCCTGAACCCTGAGCCCAAAACCCCGAACCCGAAACCTTAAACCCTAAACCCTGAACCCTAAATCCCTAAGCACTAAACCTTAAACCCAAAACCCTAAATCCTAAACCCGAAACCCAAAATCCTAAACCCGAAACCCTAAATCCTAAACCCTAAACGCATCCTGGAACAGAATCCCTACCGGCCCAGGGGCTGCCCTAGACCCGAACAAGCCACAACCCCCAAAGAAGAAACCAAACCAACCCCCAAAAACAACGCTAGGGTTTAGGGTTTAGGGTTTAGGGTTTAGGGTTTAGGGTTTAGGGTTTAGGGTTTAGGGTTTAGGGTTTAGGGTTTAGGGTTTAGGGTTTAGGGTTTAGGGTTTAGGGTTTCGGGTCGTGGAAGGCGGAAGTCGATGGGAATTTAGGAACTTGCGGCACAGATGAAGGCGGAAGTCCTGAAAACACTGGCAGGCGCGGTGAGTTCGAGACGTCGCATGGATATATATATATATATATATATATACTATGTATACTATATATACTATATATAGTATATATATATAGTATATTATATACGCCAAAAGTGGTATGCGTGGAAAAGCGTGGCAGGCGTGGGTGAAAAGGCGTTTTTTGTACTTCGCGGTTTAAGGGCATCACGTGGTTGAAGACAGAACATCCCTATGCAAAAGCACAAACTAATCGGCGTAGCATTGCGCCAATTGCCGATTTTCAGCATATTGCGACTGTAAGGTGACAGCGCGGAGCGAATTTGTGCAAAACCCCACCCACCTCCCATTTTCAGAAATCGACAAACCCCCAGGCCAAAAACAAGGCCCAAAACCCCCCCCCCCCCCCCCATTTCCTAAATATGGCTGATTAGGGTAGCCCCTTCAACCTCAGCTTCATCCCTTCAACCCCGAACCCTCAACCGTCAACCCTCAACCCAACCCTCAACCCTCAACCCTCAACCCTCAACCCTCAACCCTCAACCCTAAACCGTCAACCCTCAACCCTAAACCCTAAACCCTAGGATTCTTCCTCGTGCAGCAGTTATCATGAGCCAGGAGTCATGGTCGCTGCCCTGTTGCAGAGGGAAATCCTGCCCCAGTAGCGTTTTAGGGTTTAGGGTTTAGGATTTGGGGTTTAGGGTTTCGGGGTCTAGGGTTTGGGGTTTGGGATTTGGGGTTTGGGGGTTTAGGGTTTGGGGTTGGTTTAGGAACTTGGAGTGTACGAGCTGAGGGCTTAGCTGTATAGGAATGCAGGTTCGGGCCTTACGCGGTGTGTTGAAGAGTTTAAACTCGTCCTCAAGGCTGCCCCCTATTCGAGCTGTCCAAAGACCCCGGGTGGCCCTCAACCCTAAACCTAAGCCCTAAGCCCTAAGTCCTAAACCCTAAACCCTAAGAGCTAAGTCCTAAACCCTAAACCCTAACCCCTAAACCCTAGGAACCCTGAACCCTAGGAACCCCGAAGCCCGTCAGCCCTACAGCCCTGAACCCCGAAGCCACCAGAATGCCCTAAACCCTGAACACTCCGAACCCTGAACCCTAGACCCTAAGACCCCAAACCCTAAAATTCATAGTTAGGGATTGGGTTAAGCGTTAAACCCTGAAAGCCTACAGGTAGAACCCAACTCTAGAACCCTAAACACCCTAACATCTGGAAACATGAAGTCCCCCGAACCCTAAACCCTAAGGCCCTAAACAACTAAACCCCTAAACCCCCTAAACCCCTAAACCCTCGAAAACCCTAAACCCTAAACCCCTAAACCCCTAAACCCTAAACCCTAAACCCTAAACCCTAAACCCTAAACCCTAAACCCTAAACCCTAAACCCTAAACCCTAAACCCTAAACCCTTGCCCCGGCAAGGTGTCCAACTGCCCAACGAGAGCGCTGATGCCGCCCAGCTCGGCCATGCGCTGGTGGCATTCGCTGCTGTCCACACCTCGGTTTTTGGCTAAGAGTTTAGGGTTTAGGGTTTAGGGTTTAGGGTTTAGGGTTTCGGGTTTCGGGTTTTGGGATATAGGGATTTAGGGCTGTGAGTGAAAGGTTTGGCCTTTGTAGGATTTGGGGGTTATGGCATGGGCTATTGGTTTAGGACCTTGGGTTTAAGGTTCGAATGAGTATCCGTAAGCCCTGGGCCCTAAATGCCGAGTTTCTGGGAGGGACTGTGGATGAGCATGGCGCTCGTTTCCCAAAAACACTCCAGGGGTTGTACCCTGTAGTATAAGTTAATAAGGGCCATATCAGGAGTAGATTCAGGGGAACCGTTCGCGGGTACAACCTTAGGGGTACGAGTCGTACTCCCGTGAAACACAAGGCACCACATGGTGGTTTGCGCAATTGGAGTGTACCTTCTTGGGGTCCTCATTCTAAGGGAAGCCTACTTTTTGGGGGTCTACCTTAAGCGTCCCCTAAACCCTAAACCCTAAACCCTAAACCCTAAACCCTAAACCCTAAACCCTAAACCCTAAACCCTGTAAGCCCCCACATGCACGTCCTTTTTCCCAGAGCACGGCCGCAGCGTTATCTAATAAGCCCATGATGCCGGGCCCGATAAGCGAGATGCATCAGGGGGCCACTGCCCGAGTCAGTTTAGGGTTTAGGGTCTAGGGTTTAGGGTGTAGGGTGTAGGGTGTAGGGGTTGGGGTTTAGGGTTTAGGGTTTAGGGTGTAGGGTGTAGGGTGTAGGGTTTAGGGTTCCTCCGCGTTGGGTCTCTGGCGGCACCACTACCCATGGTCAGTTTGAGAGAAAGGAAGTCTCAGGCTAGCGTGCCCAGTGGATGCAGGTTCGGCCAGCGTCTTCGCTAGCTTGATCTATGCAAACTCACAAATTCAGGTGTGCATTGGCACCCCTCAGCCTTTCGCAACAACTGCTTGGTGCGAGTGTGGCCAACTGCACGATGAAGTCCGCTGATAATGTGCTTGTTGATGCGGATCTGGCCACTCTGGACAAACCTGGAACGAATCAGCGGGAAATGGCCCACGAGGACAGCTTACTGTTTGACTTGTCCGACTTCGGTGCATCTTGTGCAATCTTCCATGCATGAAGAGTTTCTTTTGATACCATGAATGTCGAGACGCAAATAACTGCAAGATTTCGGCTCTTACGCGAAACTGGACCGTGTAAATGTGTGACAAGGTGGCAGTTTAACCCCAAACCCCAAACTCTGAACCCCTGGCTGATCCTGCAGCTCCCCAGTCGCAGACATCAACGAGCCACCCTCAAACCCATTAGGTCCCTTGAAGGGCCTGTATGTCCTTTTACAAAGGTGCCGTACTAGATACGGACCTCAAAAGGGGCCCGAATTTAGAGAACGAGCCATGGGATCTCCGTTTCTGGAGCACCCTAAGCCTAAACCCTAAACCCTAAACCCTAAACTCTAAACACTAAACCCTAAACCCTTTCTCCCTCCCCCCTCACCTCACGAAGGTTGCCTCGGCCCTGGCTGCCTGCTTCGGCATGGCGTGTGCCTGGCGGAGGGTTTAGGGTTTAGGGTTTAGGGTTTAGGGTTTAGGGTTTAGGGTTTAGGGCTTAGGGCTTAGGGCTTAGGGTTGGCTTGGAACTTCCTTTGGGATTTGCAGTTTTGGGTTTCTGGGGTTTACAGGTTTAGAAGTGTTGGGCGTGGGGTATTGGGCTTTTGGGTTGTTAAAAGGTCTGGGTTTTACGCTTGGGGCTTCTCAGTACGCAACCAACAAAACTACAGTACATGTGCTCTGAGGTCTCGTTTTAGGGCTGGGGTTGCAGGGTTTCCCGAAGCAAAAACTCTAAACCCTAATGTTCTACCTGCTTTTGTGGGGGCCCCCTGAATAAAGCCAGATTGGCTGGGATATTCAGGACGCCCTGACTGTTTGGGGGTGCACGGTGGGATCCTGAATTATGCCCAGGGTGCCGTAAGAAAATTCCACGCGGCGTGCCTTTAAAATCAGTTGTCAGGCAACGCTGCCCCTTTTAAACTCAAGCTCCTCCCTATTGAAATCAAATAAAACCCGTGGATCGCGTAAACAGAGTGAACACCAGCTTCGACTGTTCTGGGGAGGCGGGGGGCCCACACATTAAACCGCAGGGTTTCCTGAAGCCAAGATGCATAGGCCAGCAGCAGCGCGTAAAGGAAAAAGTCGTTAACGAAAAGTCCGTCCTGCCCAAGAAGTCTAAATCCAGAAAGCTCCCCAGCCCTAACGCGGTTTAGGGTTTAGGGTATATACGGTTTAGGGTTTAGGTTTTGGGGTTTAGGGCTTAGGCCCCGACCAAAGCCCTTGCCCAAAAGAGCAGCTTGTCAGTCATGCTAGGGATCCTCAAGCAGATTGAAGGCATTATCCCTCAACCACGCTAAACCCTAACCCCTAAACCCTACAACCTAACCCTAAACCCTAAACCCTAAACCCTACACCTGTCCTGCTCCAGGCTGCTACCTAGGAGCTCAACTTCGTGCCACATGCCTTTCTTTGCGAAGGCTCCTTGGCCGGGGAGCTCAGGGTCCAGGGTTGGGGTTTAGGGTTTAGGGTTTAGGGTCTAGGGTCCAGGGTCTAGGGTTTAGGGTTTAGTGTCTAGGCCCTAGACTCTAGGGTTTAGGGTTTAGGGTTTAGGGATAAGGTCTAGGTCTAGGTCTAGCACATGGGTTTCAGGATCTGTTGAACCTTACCATACTTGAACCAGTCTAACATGGGAATGACTGGCCTAGGGGATTGCGGATGAGGGCGTTGCGTGCAAAGTGCTGCAGAGGCTCTTGCCAGGGAAGTGTACGACACGATGTTTGGCTGGACGTTCTGTTGCTGCATGAGGGCGAAGATCTTCTGGGCACATTCGATGTCGCCTTTCTTCGCGCATGCATCCAGCAAACTGCTGTAAGTGACGGTGTCGGCGGTGATGCCGCAACTCTGCATGGCCAGCATGGTGCACGCCGCGCCATCGATGTCTCCCACCTTGGCATAGGCAGTGACCACCGCCGTGAAGGTGCCTGGGTCCCAGGGCACTGCAACCCAGGTTGAGGGTTTAGGGAGCAACCTAGGAATACCGTAACACGCGAACACCCGAACACCCTAACACCGCAACACCCTTGACCCTGTTTCATCAATGCTGTCGAAAAGGCCAAGCCTTCCAAGAAAATCATGAAATACATGCAGGCCCTAAACCCTAAACCCTAAACCCTAAACCCTAAACCCTAAACCCTAAACCCTAAACCCTAAACCCTAAACCCCGGAAAGCCCTAAGACGACCTTCTTAGGAAAAAGGAAAAAAGGGCCTCGCTGGAAAGGTCCCAGGCGCGGACATTGGGGGAGAAGCCCCGCTCCAACATGATCTTGTGCCATTGAAGTGCTTTCCTGGCTTGCATGTGAAGCTAGGATGGCCCTCCTGACAACTCTCTGAAAAAATATTCCTAAGTATGTTCCTCTTAAACCCAACAAGGGAACGTTTAACAATATCCCAAGGGCCTTCCTAGCACATCTGGGTACACGAAAAAGAGGCTTCCTTATCAGGATTCAGGATTTAGGATTTAGGGCCCAGCGTTTGCGGTTTTAGGGTTTAGGGTTGAGGGTTTAGGGTTTAAGGGTGGATTTTTAAGTTGCTTAACAGTAACCCAGTCTCAGGGGTTGGCCTGCCTTTGCGCAGGCATCCATCACCGCACCGAAGGACACCTTGTCTGGGTTTAGGGTTTAGGGTTTAGGGTTTATAGGGTTTAGGGTTTAGGGTTTAGGGATTAGGGTTGAGGGTTTAGGGTTCAGGGTTTAGGGTTTATAGGGTATAGGGTTTAGGGTTTACGGTTTAGGGTTTAGGGTTTACTGCCTCCTCAACCCTACATCATAAACCCTTCAGCCCCTAAACACTTCAGCGCCTAAACCCCCAAGGACCCAAAGCTCGAAGCTCCTAAGTCCCCCAGCCGCCAAACCGCAGGCCCCCAAACCCACCCTGAACCCCACTAAACCCTGAACCCTAGGGTTTAGGGTTTAGGGTTTAGGGTTTAGGGTTTAGGGTTTAGGGCTTAGGGTCTAGGGTTTAGGGTTTAGGGTTTAGGGTGTAATCCCAAACCGTGGCTCTAGCGCATAGCGGCCCGTACTTGAAACCAGTCGCTCAGACACTCAGTCGCCCAAACCAGACCCAGTCACTCAGTCACTCAGACGCTCAGAGCAGAACCAGGTCAGTCAGACCAGGGTTTAGGGTTTAGGGTTTAGGGTTTTAGGGTTTTAGGGTTTTAGGGTTTTAGGGTTTTAGGGTTTCAGGGTTTTAGGGTTTTAGGGTTTTAGGGTTTTAGGGTTTTAGGGTTTTAGGGTTTTAGGGTTTTAGGGTTTTAGGGTTTTAGTGTTTTAGGGTTTTAGGGTTTTAGGGTTTTAGGGTTTTAGGGTTTTAGGGTTTTAGGGTTTTAGGGTTTTAGGGTTTTAGGGTTTTATGGTTTTAGGGTTTTAGGGTTTTAGGGTTTTAGGGTTTTAGGGTTTTAGGGTTTTAGGGTTTTAGGGTTTTAGGGTTTTAGGGTTTTAGGGTTTTAGGGTTTTAGGGTTTTAGGGTTTTAGGGTTTTAGGGTTTTAGGTTTTTCGGGTTTTCGGGTTTTCGGGTTTTCGGGTTTTCGGGTTTTCGGGTTTTCGGGTTTTCGGGTTTTCGGGTTTTCGGGTTTTCGGGTTTTCGGGTTTTCGGGTTTTCGGGTTTTCGGGTTTTCGGGTTTTCGGGTTTTTCGGGGTTTTCCGGTTTTTCGGGGGTTTTCCGGTTTTTCGGGGGTTTTCCGGGTTTTCGGGGGTTTTCCGGGTTTTCGGGTTTTCGGGTTTTCGGGTTTTCGGGTTTTCGGGTTTTCGGGTTTTCGGGTTTTCGGGTTTTCGGGTTTTCGGGTTTTCGGGTTTTAGGGTTTTCGGGTTTTCGGGTTTTCGGGTTTTCGGGTTTTCGGGTTTTCGGGTTTTCGGGTTTTCGGGTTTTCGGGTTTTCGGGTTTTCGGGTTTTCGGGTTTTCGGGTTTTCGGGTTTTCGGGTTTTCGGGTTTTCGGGTTTTCGGGTTTTCGGGTTTTAGGGTTTTAGGGTTTTAGGGTTTTAGGGTTTTAGGGTTTTAGGGTTTTAGGGTTTTAGGGTTTTAGGGTTTTAGGGTTTTAGGGTTTTAGGGTTTTAGGGTTTTAGGGTTTTAGGTTCAAGCATTCACTAGTCACACCAGTCAAGCAATTACTCGAGCGTTGGGAAAAATACCCACCCGCCCAGAGAATCCCATCACATTAGGAAAATATTTCCCTTAGATTTTTATTTTCAGGCGACAAGACAGATAACATTCTGAAATCCACCATAAAGAATCAAATTTGCTTAGTGCCCCACGATATAAAGTCAAATTTGCTTAGTGTCCCACTATCTAGGGTCTAAATTTGCTTCGTGCCCCGCCACTATTATGGGTTGTCCCGAGCCCCGACACGGGTTGTCAAGGGCCCCCCACGGGACATGTGAAACCCCAAAATATGACCTTCAGGGCCCGATTTTTACTTGGCACAAGGTCGTTCTTTGGACCGAACGACCTTGCCCATTGAAGATGTGACCTTGCCCAGCAAAAAAAAAACTTGCCCAGTAAAGATATGACCGTGCCCAGAAAAAAAAGACCTTGCCCAGTAACTCCCCAACATTTAAAATTAAATATGGAAGAGGGGTTTAGGGTTTAGGCTTTAGGGCTTAGGGTTTAAGGTTTAGGGTTTAGGGTTTAGGTTTTAGGGCTTCTCGGAGGTTGGACCGAGTCACTCAGTCACTCCAGTCACTCCGAGTCTGAGTCCAGACCCTGGATCTGAGTGTGTCTGAGTGCGAGCGTCTGCGTGTCTGAGCGTCAAGCCCTAAACCCTAAACCCTAAACCCCAAACCGCTTCAAATCCAAACCGCCAACGCGACCCCAATCAGATGAGCCACCAACGACGCCTCGACGCGGCTCTCCATCATCGAGTGCATCAGCCTCCTAGGCTTCGAAGTACCAAACAAACAACAAAAACAAGGGTTTAGGGTTCAGGGTCCAGGGTTCAGGGTTTAGGGTTTAGGGTCTAGGGTTTAGGGTTTAGGGTTTCGGGCGTACGGCTTTGGGTCCCAGAGCAACAATACGGACATCCTTCTGTTTTGGAGTCTTTTTTGAATGCCACCTCACCCCCAATACAAGGCAAAAAGGCCCGCTCGGGGTAGTACGAACCCAGCCCGACGCCAAAGAAGTAATTAAGCAAGCTTGTACCATTCTTGTTGTTGGAAGGTGAGGGGACTTTGAAGTATGCTAACACTAAACCCTAAACCCTAAACCCTAAACCCTAAACCCTACACCCTACACCCTACACCCTACACCCTGCACCCTACTCCCACAACCCTACTCAAGAGTCCAAGGCGCTCAGCCTCCCAGACGTTGCCCAGCTTGCCATGGGCATCAATCCTGGGGTCTCAGTGAGAGCTTCAGGGGTTTAGGGTTTAGGGTTTAGGGTTTATGGTTTGGAGCTTTGAGAGTTTAGGGTTTTGAGGCTTGAGGGTCGAGGGTTTCGGGCGAACCCTTAGCACCCTGGGTGTAGTAGTCTAACGATCTGATGTGGTGTATGGGCGTGTCTTCGCGCACTTTGTACTCTGGTTTAGTAGCTTCTGATCTGGAATCCTTTACCGTAAAATAAAAGCCGTAGGGCTCAGGAATTCGGATACAAGATATAGGGCTTAGACCTTATAAATTAGGATTTACATGGTACAGGGTTTGGTGTATAGGGTTGAGGTTACAGGGCTTAGGGTTTAGGGTTTAGGGTTTAGAGTTCAGGGTTCAGGGTTCAGGGTTCAGGGTTCAGGGTTTAGAATTTAGGGTTTAGGGCAGCCAAAGCACAGCATGGTGTACGCCACCGTTTTGGTCTTCCCAAGGCAGCCTTTGCGAAGGAGCTCGGCCAGCAAGCTCTCCGCCGGCCTGAGGTGGCCTTTTAGGGTCTAGGGTTTAGGGTTTAGGGTTTAGGGTTTAGGGTTTAGGGTTTAGGGTTTAGGGTTTAGGGTTTAGGGTTTAGGGTTTAGGGTTTAGGGTTTAGGGTTTGGAGGCGGCCTGAAAACCCTGGGTTGAGGGTTTAGGGATTAGGGTCTGTCGGGAACCCTAAACCCTAAACCCTAAACCCTAAACCCTAAACCCTAAACCCTAAGCCCTGGCGTTGAGAGGCCACTGCAAAAAACTCTTGGACACTTGGCAGTTGATGCCCAGTCAGGTGCAGGGCTTGGGGATTAGGGCTCAGGGTTTTAGGTTTGAGGTTTTCGGGTTCAGGGTGTAGGGTTCAGGTTTAGGGATTAGGGTTTGGGCGGTTTAGGGTTTGGGTTTAGGGTTTAGGTTTAGGGTTTAGGGTTTAGGAGGCCGGTGAGGTGAGCAACTGGCCTGATTTGCAGTACTCCGAAATCAGGGAGGTGTAGCAGCCCGCTCCGGGCGCGTACCTTCGACGACTTCGGGCTTTGGGGTTTAGGAGGTTCAGGGGTTCAGACACACAAACTGGAGGTTCACGGGGGTTCAGATAGACAAACTCAGGCCCCCCTAAGAGGCCTCATTCGGGCCAGATTCAGAGTCTCATTGTAAGGGCGAAAAGCATGTTGTGATGAGGGGTTCTTGTTCGGGTGGTTTTGGGGTTTAGGGTTCAAACCTGAAATAAACCCCAGTACCTGGAGTTTAGATCCAGACCCGAAACCCTGAACCACGTCTTCCAGCTGCCAGCTTGGGTCTTACAGGAGTTTAGGGTTTAGGGTTTAGGGCTTAGGGCTTAGGGTTTAGGGTTTGGGCTCGCAGATTCCAGTATGGCAGCCCCATACTTGAAGGCCATGAGTACCCCACAAAATGCTTAGATTGTAGCTTCAAGATAAAGCGGCCCTCGGAATAAGTACAGCCCAACGCTCTCAAGCTAAAAAGCCCTTGGAAAGGCATCAAATCCTTAGGCCTCAACACCCCATCCCAAAAAGGGTTAACCGTTTTTTTTTAAGGGTAGGGTTCTATATAGCCCAAAAGGTTACAGGTTGTTCCTAAGAATCAAGGAGGCAAAGGGCCCATCCGCCACCATCCGCTCGAACCACGCCCGCGCGTTGGGTAGGTTTCCCTGACGGGCCCAACCTCGCCAGGGTTTAGGGTTTTAGGGTTTAGGGTTTAGAGTTTAGGGTTTAGGGTTTAGGGTTTAGGGTTTAGGGTTTCCGGGCATCGTCGGCTTCTGACATGAGGGGGGCAAGGATTTTGTGAGGGTTTTGGGGAGGGGGGGTGTCGAATAGAGGGCACCCTCGACATTCAGCCCTACCTCAACCCCCCCATTTCCGGTAGTAGGTAGGCCTTGAATGGGTTTAGGGTTTAGGGTTTAGGGTTTAGGGTTTAGGGTTTAGGGTTTAGGGTTTAGGGTTTAGGGTTTAGGGTTTAGGGTTTAGGGTTTAGGGTTTAGGGTTTAGGGTTTAGGGTTTAGGGTTTAGGGTTTAGGGTTTTAAGGGTTTAGGGTCCAATTTCCTGTAGTAGGTGGGCCTTGAATCAGCATGGCGTACTCCCAGGAGCTTCGTGGGAGACCCGCCAGCGGCATCTTCGTGAAGATGGATTCGGCTTCCTCGCAGCTCCTGGGTCGAGGGTTACGTGGGGTTTAGGGCTAGGGTTTAGGGCTAGGGTTTAGGGTTTGGGGTTTGGGGTTTGGGGTTTAGGGTAGGGTTTAGGGTTTGGGGTTTGGGGTTTGGGGTTTAGGGTTTAGGGTTTAGGGTTGAGGGTTTAGGGTTTAGTGCTATGGTTTACGGTTCAGGGTTTGGGGTTCGTTTAGGTCGTCGCGGAATGAGGAATGCCTGCAAACTCTAGCGGGTCATGCTGCGGGAAGGAAGGGCGCCAGGACTACATGCCCAATGCCGCAATTTACCAAATGCTCACATGTTAAAGGTTTTGGTGACCAAGAAACGCTGCCCCTTTTTGCGCTTTCCTCAAAAGTGAACCTAGGACCAAAACAACCCTGTCCCCTAAACCCCAAGCCCTACACTGTGAGGCCTAAAACTCTGAACGCAAAACCCCGAGACCGTCAACCATAACCCCTGACCCAAAACGCCATTGAAGTCAAATAGCTGTGGTGTAATCCTAAACCATCCCCCACCTATTGCTGTGGTGGGACCTCTAAAATGGCCAGTCCTTTTTCGGAGGTCCGTTTTCAAAAAAAAAGACACATTCTGTCCATTTATCGGTCCGGCCCTACCTTTTGCCCCTCAACATGACTGAAGACCCCAACCCCCCCCCCCCCCAGCCCTCCCCTCCTAGCTGGGTTGTCTCTGTGCTGCACATGGCCACAAGAAATAATGGACAGAACTGCTGCTTGAGGTTCTTTTCTCGGCTGCTCCCCGCAGTCTTGGTATGTGTGAGATTGTCAGGCGGTGCCTTGCTGCCAGAACCCCAGAACGAGAAAGCAGGCTAGTGGCTAGTACTTTGCAAAGTTAGCAGCAAGATGCAGCAAGGAAAGCCACCGCAGGCATCCTCATGCACCCTCAGGTCTACAGCAGCATCGCTGGTGAAGCCTTGGCATCGATCCTTTGGACCAGGGACCTAAGCTTTCCTATGGCCGAGCTGTCTTTCGGATAGACAGCGGCCCGCTCCATCAGCACAGCTTTCCCGAAACTCTTGCCGACGTAATCTTTCAGCTCCACATCGAAGAACTCAGGTGCTCGTGCGCAAACTTCAGGCCACAGCAACCAAAGATCACCTTGCAGGTTGAACTCGTTGGCATCGTTGAGGACGGGCAGGCCTCTCTGCTTGAAGGCACTGGGCAATCTCTCCATGAACTCCTCGATGGCCTTGGATCCCGCAATGGTTCTTCCAAAGCTACTGCTGACCCAAACCTTTCCCTCGCTCTCCATCTCCTCGTCGCCCCCGGCGACTGGCTTTGCTGTGCCAGTCTTGTCTGGCACCCACAGCTCAGGGTTGGCCTTCACCTGGTCGATGGCTGCCAGAACTTCATCGCTCAGGTGCACAATGAGTTTATCCCGCTCCGTCTCCAGCTTCTTGACACTCAGCTCGGCCAAAATCACTCCAACCGGATCGCAAAGTATGGAGTCGGACAAGGAGCACGCAAACAGCCTGTGTGTGCTTGCAGAAGTCATCTTGGTCACACGAACTCGTGAGCAACTCGGGATTGGGAGAGGCCCTGCACTCGGCCGTGTGGCTCGGTTTCGCCGAGTCTGCTTGCTGCCATCATTCTTCATCACGGCCCCTCGCCAAACGCTTGTGACCACGCCCACGAATACATCTCCAGACACCAGGCACAAGACGATCTGTGGGGACTGTGGTGACCCGCTGTCAGGATGTAAATGCGTCGGTGCTCGAATGGCCCATTTACTCTCCTTGGCATTGGTCGCTGCCTCCACGAGTTTTTGTGAGGTGTTCATCCAGGAGGAGCTTCTCGACTGCCTGTTGCCACTGGAGAGCGTGGCTGCCCGAGCTTTGGCCAGCTCAGATTGCAAAAGATGCCAGGACGAGAGATTCGGCGTGGCTCCTGTGGTGGCTGTTCTCGACAAGATGCCCTCTCGCTGTCGCACGCTGGCGGCAAACTGCCTCATGGCACCCGTCAAAGCCCATTGTCGCTCCAAGGTCTTCTCTGCAGTGTAGGCGTCCACTGCAGACATGTCGAATGGAGCCAGATCCGAGCATCCGCGCTGCAGGCCTAGGAACTCAACCCTGAACATCCCTGAACCCAAAATTTCCGAAACAGACCAAAAAAAAAATCAGCAGAAGTATGGATAAGCAGCATGGCCAGGTAGCTGTGCCAGCTGGCATTGCCTTCGTTCACCACGCACGGGGCCTCATTGAGGCTGCTCACACAACCGGTTGAGACCTTAGGCGCCTGCACGAGGTTCTGTGTAAGCTCTGCCAGCTCCGATTTCATGGCTGCATGGTCCTCTGCTTCGGTCACAGCTGTCAAAGCTGCATCAGGTGGGTTCTCGTCGTAGTTCGCCTCCTCGTCCTCTGCGTCAGACTGGATTGCCTCGTAGTCCTCGTCATCTGCGACGTCTGCTGAGGTATTCATAGTCATCAGGGCATGTCCCTCCAGACGCCACCACGCCTTGAAGTCTTTCTCGATCTTGTCTCTCGACTCCTTGTAGGACACCCATTCCATGAGCTGGATGCTGTCCGCCCAGGCCTCCTCGATCAGCCTGGCCGCCTCCTGCTCTGTGACCTGTGATGTCTTGAAAGTTGGAACGTGGTAGGAACGACCCAGCTCTTTCATGTGCTCACGGTGGAAGCCGTAGACTCCATCACGTATCGAGGGAGAGCCTCTGTATGAGGCTTTGGCCCGCCCAAAGAAAGACTCGATGACCTTTTCGGCGAAGCGGGACGGGTCAGCTCCTGGGGAGTGGATGCACAGTGAGATGGCGAGAACGCAGCTGTAGGCCAAATTTCTGGTCGTGGCGAGCGGCAACCAGAATTTTTCCCAGTCTTTGCCGTACGCAAGCTTTGCCTGGGAGAGGCCGATGAGCAGGAGAAAGTACCCCGTTGCAGCATTCTTGACTCTGCAATCGGCTGGGATGCCTTTGCTGCCTTCCCACCCCTGTGACACCAGTCCGCTCAGCAAATGCAAGAAATGCACGCCAAATGAGCTCCATGTCCGACGGGTGTATGCCGGGTTTAAACGTTCCAGTGCCTGACGGTCAGATTGCTCGTCAGTAAGCACGAAGCTCTTCAGCGGGATCTTGTTCTGGAGCATCACTGAGAAGTCCACCACGCTGCCGCCAATGGTGATGGTCCTGTGACCAGACCCGGCGTGGAACGCCAGTCTCTTCTGAAGGTGTAGGCAGTCCAGAGACGCGTGCACCACCTGGTCATGGAACACCAGCTGACGAAACGGCATGAACTTGAAGTTGAGTGGAATGTAGGCGCAGTCCTCGAAGAAGGGAACCCCTTGGAGGGCCTCTCCTGCCATGCCCAAGGCGGCCTTCAGCAACATGCCGTTCGCCGAGCCGCCGTCGAAGGCAAAGCCTAGCGGAGCATGGCCGCTGTTCTCCATCACGAAGCTTTGAGCGATGATGCCGAGCATGCGCAAGAACTCAGAGCCCTTGCCGGTCTGGCCGGCTGGCATCGGCACGCTGTTGAGACACCATACCGAAGCAGCCGACTCCACTCGAGAAGCCACGACGTTGACGGTCAGACTGGAGAGTTTGTCCTGCGGGTAGTGGCCTCCAGGTTTCAGGATGGACCAGTCCTCCTCCTTGACGCGGCTGTGCTGTCCACCCAGGATGACTGTCTCACCAGGGGCAGTCAAGCCACTGATCGCCTGGAAGTCCCTCTTCCAGACAGTTTCGTCTATCGCAAGGAAGAATGCCCTGGGCTTCTCAGCCCCGATGTGCAAGTTCTCCAAGACTGTGCGGCAGTTGCGACGCATTCCTGACGTGTTGGACGCTCTGGCTTAAAAATATTTGGCGTACTAAAAAAAAAAGAAAAACCAACAAGCTTCCCAAGGACTTTCTGAGATTCTCTCAACGTCGGTGTGAGCTAGCCAGAACTCGGGCAGGCCGGCCATGGTGAGGGTGACCTTGTTGTCCGGCAAGTTCACCCCGAAGTAGTGGAGCAGGGAGTTCGTTTGCTGGCTTCTTCCGAGTGACCAGTAGATTTCTTGAGTTGTGGCCTCATCACAGAGCTTCGAAGAATTCACACGATCTTCGAGACCACGTGCAAGCTTGTCTTGCTTCAAACAAAAGCTCTGTAGCAGGCAGCTCACGACCCGGTTGCCAGACAGCTTCCCTGCTGCTACTGCGGCTGCTAGCTGCAAGTCCTCACGATTCACCTTGTTGGTCAGAACCCCTGTTGCAAACCGGTCGCAGAGTGACTTGAAGGCTTCACGTTCAGTGTTGGAGGACTCCCGGAAGTGCACGTCTCTCACAGACATCTCTATGAACTCATGCAGGCGCGGTGTTCGCGCAGTCGTTGGCACGCTTTGCAGTAAACGCTTCAGCATCCACACCTGCCCGCCTGGATTCTCCACGTCCAGCGCACTCTGGATCTCGCCACGGAAGAAGAGATTGCCCTCGTGTGTCTGCAGAGCCTCCGTCGCCTTCAGGCGCTCATCGTCTGTGCCATACACCAGCGTGTGCATGAAGGTGGCATACTCGATGCGAAGACCCCAGTGCGCCACTTCCTTCTGGAAGCTCTTGGAGTCTGCGAGCCGCTGACATGGCCCGCAGGCCTTGTCGCTACGCGACTGCCCGACACACGCTCTGTGCTTGAGGACCAGTGCTTCGCTTCGCCATGTCCAGACGCAGCTGCGGCCATTGTCCTCGGAAGCTGCCTTCGTCTGGATGCAACCATGCTTGTGCCATGCCTCGCAACAACCCCGCAGTCGGTCAAGAGAGCTCTCTGCCTTTCCCAACGCAATGCCGGGGCATGGCGTCTGACCCTCGACCAGACCCAGTTTGTGGCGATGGCTGTCGTGCTTCTCGTGGCGCTTCACGTATCGTCGGCCGCTTTCTGCCTTGCGGAAGCACTGGACTTCTGCATTGCATAATGAGCAAATCCAAAGCGTGCCCATTTTGTGCTTGTACATGCCAGGGCGGTTGAGCTCCAGCCATGTCGCCAGTGTGACGACCTCAGCTCCGATCTTGGGTCTGCCCCTGCCATTGGAAGCCACTGCCTCCTCTGCTTGCTGCGCTGGCCGCACAAGGGCCACTTCCAAGGCGACCTCAGCCACGGGGGGGGGAGGCCGGTCACCAGCCTCTGCGTGGCCTTCGGACGTCTCCTGCTCCAAGACCCGGTCCCTCAGTGCACGGCAGCTTGCGCACTTCAGAGCTGCAGACTTCATCAATGCCTGGCACCATGCCCCCCAGTGTCCTCTCGGCATGGGGTCCTTCTTCTTCAAGTGCACGGCTTGAAACTGCACATTGAAGGTGACACCGGCTTCTTTCGCACGCTGCCCACCCTCAACTGCCAGCTGTTTGTTCTTTGCAGCCCGGGAGAGCCTCTGCTCCTTCCCTGCTGGCATGTCCTCGTCCCCTGAGTCCGGCAGCACCACAGCCACCTTCTGCTTCTTCCGAGGTCTTGCGATATCCTGCAGCACGTCGTCCTCTGAGTCCAGCAGCTCGTCCTTCACCTTCAGGAACTTCTGGTGCGGTGGTGTGAGAGGGCCATCCTCTAACGGCTCCAAAGCTGCTATGGGAGAAGGCCTCGCGCGGCGGGGCGGAGTGGTCGGCTCTGGCGGCGGCAAAGGGGCCGGAATCACGGGTTCTTGCTTGGCCTCCTTTTTGAGAGAGCTCTCTTGCAATGCGACGGCTGCCGACAGGGACTCTGCGCCGCCGCGGAAGGCATTTGGAGTCACCCTCAACAGCAGCTTGCACAACTCTAGCGCAGGCTCTTCCAGGTCCTCGGCCGAGGACCTACATGCATTGTGGGGCTGGCCTTCTAGGTACAAGTGGATGCGCCACGAGCAGAGCTTGTCGACCCAAGCGTCTTGCTTTCGGAGCAAGTCTTGCCCTTGATGAACCTCGAAATCCCTCTTCTGCGCTGTGCTGAGCTGGGCCCATTCGTCCTCCTTACCAACCTCTAAGCGCACCTGCAGGTAGAAGAGGTACGAGGCGAGTTCTTCACCCGCAACGTACACAAAGTCGTACTGGTAGTGGGGGGCTAAGGCATGAAAGATGTCCTGAAGATTCCAGGAGCCTACGGGCAGACCACGCCACTTGATGTCCAGACCCGACTCTGCGAGAGCACACGCAACGTCCCCCTGCAGCACCTCCCACGGCCGTCGCAGGAAGTCAGGGACGACCTGGGCCAGACCCGATATAGGGAAGGGAGCTGCTGGGAGGCTGCCAACTATGTGTGCCTGCTGTGAGATAGGCTACGTAGCACCACCAAACCGTCCAAAAAAGCGGCACAGCACAACCCGGACCCCAACAACCAGTACTATCATCCAGGGCGCATTGACGGTGACAGGTATGGCTCATTTCCACCCACCCACTGCGTCAGCACCCTGGGACCCCTTCACCGTCCATTTTCTCGGTGTAAAGATTCGCTCTTGGAAACCCCACAACTCCAACCCACGATCGACCCCTGTGTCACCTCGTCCCTGCGAAGGTCCAGAAAACGGACAACGTCGCCCCACAAGGTACGGCCCGGCTGCACGCCACCACGGGAGGAGGAGCCTCACACACCCCGACGGTCCATTTTCCGGAGCAGTTCCCTGGGACCCCAGAAACCCACAACAGGACTTGCGTGACGGCGTGAGAGCCCAGGAAACCAGCACCAGGACTCCCGCACAAGGTCCAGAAAACGGACAACGTCGCACCACAAGGTACGGCCCGGCTGCACGCCACCACGGGAGGAGGAGCCTCACACACCCCGACGGTCCATTTTCCGGAGCAGTTCCCTGGGACCCCAGAAACCCACAACAGGACTTGCGTGACAGCGTGAGAGCCCAGGAAACCAGCACCAGGACTCCCGCACAAGGTCCAGAAAACGGACGACGTCGCCCCACAAGGTACGGCCCGGCTGCACGCCACCACGGGAGGAGGAGCCTCACACACCCCGACGGTCCATTTTCCGGAGCAGTTCCCTGGGACCCCAGAAACCCACAAGAGGACTTGCGTGACAGCGTGAGAGCCCAGGAAACCAGCACCAGGACTCCCGCACAAGGTCCAGAAAACGGACGACGTCGCCCCACAAGGTACGGCCCGGCTGCACGCCACCACGGGAGGAGGAGCCTCACACACCCCGACGGTCCATTTTCCGGAGCAGTTCCCTGGGACCCCAGAAACCCACAACAGGACTTGCGTGACAGCGTGAGAGCCCAGGAAACCAGCACCAGGACTCCCGCACAAGGTCCAGAAAACGGACGACGTCGCCCCACAAGGTACGGCCCGGCTGCGCAGACAGCACACCAGGAGGACCCTCCCACAGGGGAACCGTCCATTTTCCCGCAAGACCCCACCTACCCTTGCAATCCACCCCCCACATACCCGTTTGGACTCACTCCACTGACGTACCAGCCATTTTTCCCGTGACCACGTACCCCTGGCTGAGGAACCACCCAAGAAGAGCACCCCAGGAACCCCCTTGGTTTGGGCTGCGGCGCCCGTCTGCTCTGGTCAGTCCAGTTTCTAGGTTCCTTAAACACCTTAACTTCCGAGAGCCACGCAACAGGGCACGGGATCTCAGGTGTCGCCTCACAGTCCGTAGCTGCTGCAAATTTGGCTGCAAGTCTCTGAGCAAGGGAAGGCGGCTTCATCACAGCAGGCGGCCTCTGCTTTGACCATCTCCACATCTGCTCCCTGGAAGATTGGCAGTGAGCATGTACTGACGTCCCGAGGACACGGTCCAACCAAAGCATGAGAGACTGTCGAGATAGACTGCCCACCTGGGCCTCTGCCTTGACATTCTTCTCCAAGGATGTCTGGCGGATGGGCACATGTGGCATCAGTGCATTGTACCCTACTTGCAATGTCAAGCAGAAGCAGTAAGCAGAAAGCAACCCCTCCCCCGCCCAACGGAACCCGAGCCTCTGCCTTGACATTCTTCGCAGAGGCTTTCTGGCGGATGGGCAGAAATGCTGTCATCCACATGTCAAGCAGAACCCCTCCCCCCCCCCCCCCTTCGCCCACATCACCCTGTCACAAAATTCCTGGCCTCTGGCTTGGTCTTCTCCAAGGCTTTCTGGCGGATGGGTAAAGGGTTTAGGGTTTAGGCCTTTGGGTTTAGGGTTTAGGGTTTGGGGTTTAGGGTTTGCATGCTGTCAGTACTGGCACCCTATATGCAATATCAACGCACAAGCAACACCGAGCTGTCAGTATTGGCGGCGTACGTGCAATGTAGAAGCTACACATAGCGAAGCCACAAGGCCTCCATCTTCGGAAGCGTGTGGGTAGTTCCAGGAACCGCGCAGGGTCTGGTTCATGTCCTGGCATGTACAGGAAACGGAGCCCAAACCCCCCCCCCCCCTCCCCAGCAGGCAAAGGAAACGAAACGGAGTCTCGAAGCCCAGACCCCCCCCCCCCCCGTGTGCAGCTTAAATAGGGTCTATTTGGAAGCTGGGAATCGTATTTACAAGAGGAAAACAGGCCCCAAAACGTATACTTATTCACAAGAGCCATGTTCCAAATAGACCCTATTTTAGGTCCTGTAGGGTTGCACAGACAGAATTTAATTCATTAAATTCCTTAATTTCCACTTTCCCCCTGGAATTTAATGAATTTAATCAATTAATTCAATTAATTCATTTATTTCCAAAGGGGGGGGTGGAATTAATTGAATTAGTTGAATTAATTGAATTAAATTCAATTAATTGAATTAATTGAACCCCCCCCTTTGGAAATAAATGAATTAATTGAATTAATTGAAGTAATTGAATTAATTGAATTAATTGAATTAATTGAATTAATTGAATTAATTGAATTAATTGGAATTAATTCAATTAATTCAATTAATTCCACCTCCCCTTTGGAAATAAATGAATTAATTGAATTAATTGAATTAGTTGAATTATTTCAATTAATTCAATTAATTCAATTAATTCATTTATTTCCAAATGGGGGGGATTCCCCAGCCCCCACCCCTCCCCCCCCTTTGGAAATAAATGAATTAATTGAATTAATTGAATTAATTGAATTAATTGAATTAATTCAATTAATTCAATTAATTCAATTAATTCATTTATTTCCAAAGGGGGGTGGAATTAATTGAACTAATTTAAATAATTGAATTAATTCAATTAATTCAATTAATTCAATTAATTCATTTATTTCCAAATGGGGGGGATTCCCCAGACCCCACCCCCCCAGCTCGATTTGGCCAAATTTTGCCCGGAGGCTGCCCGGCAAAATTTGGCCAAATCGAGCCGCGCCTTTTCTGGAGGCCCGAAATTATTTAAACTATCGCGGCTCGATTTGGCCAAATTTTGCCGGGCAGCCTCCGGGCAAAATTTGGCCAAATCGAGCCACGCATTTCTCATCGCATACGAAGGGCAGCCCGATTTGGCCAAATTTTGCCCGGAAGCTGCCCGGCAAAATTTGGCCAAATCGAGCCGCGATAGTTTAAAAATTTCGGGCCTTCAGAAAGGCGCGGCTCGATTTGGCCAAATTTTGCCGGGCAGCCTCCGGGCAAAATTTGGCCAAATCGAGCCGCGCATTTCTCATCGCGTTCGACGAGCAGCCCGATTTGGCCAAATTTTGCCCGCAGACTGCCCGGCAAAATCTGGCCAAATCGAGCCGCGCCTTTCTGGAGGCCCGAAATTATTTAAACTATCGCGGCTCGGTTTGGCCAAATTTTGCCGGGAAGTCTGCGGGCAAAATTTGGCTAAATCGGGCTGCTCGTCGTACGCGCTGAGAAATGCGCGGCTCGATTTGGCCAAATTTTGCCGGGCAGCCTCCGGGCAAAATTTGGCCAAATCGAGCCGCGCATTTCTCATGGCGTACGAAGAGCAGCCCGATTTGGCCAAATTTTGCCCGCAGGCTGCCCGGCAAAATTTGGCCAAATCGAGCCGCGATAGTTTAAATAATTTCGTTCAATTAGTTCATTCATTTCCAAATGGGGGGGATTCCCCAGCCCCCACCCCCCCCCTTTGGAAAAAAATGAATTAATTGAATTAATTGAATTACTTGAATTAATTGAATTAATTGAATTAATTGAATTAATTGAATTAATTCAATTAATTCAAGTAATTCATTTATTTCCAAAGGGGGGGGGGTGGAATTAATTGAATTAATTGAATTAATTGAATTAATTGAATTAATTGAATTAATTGAATTGATTCAATTAATTCAATTAATTCAATTAATTCAATTAATTCAATTAATTCAATTAATTCAATTAATTCAATTAATTCAATTAATTCAATTATTTCCAAATGGGGGGATTCCCCAGCCCCCACCCCTCCCCCCCCTTTGGAAATACATGAATTAATTGAATTAATTGAATTAATTGAAATAATTGAATTAATTCAATTAATTCAATTAATTCCACCTCCCCTTTGGAAATAAATGAATTAATTGAATTAATTGAAATTGAATTCAATTAATTCATTTATTTCCAAAGGGGGGGGGGTGGGGGCTGGGGAATCCCCCCCATTTGGAAATAAATGAATTAATTGAATTAATTGAATTAATTGAAATAATTGAATTAATTCAATTAATTCAATTAATTCCACCTCCCCTTTGGAAATAAATGAATTAATTGAATTAGTTGAATTAATTCAATTAATTCAATTAATTCAATTACTTCAATTAATTCAATTAATTCATTTATTTCCAAAGGGGGGGGGTGGGGGCTGGGGAATCCCCCCCATTTGGAAATAAATGAATTACTTGAATTAATTGAAATAATTGAATTAATTCAATTAATTCAATTAATTCCACCTCCCCTTTGGAAATAAATCAATTAATTGAATTAATTGAATTAATTCAATTATTTCAATTAATTCAAGTAATTCATTTATTTCCAAATGGGGGGTGGGGGCTGGGGCATCCTCCTCCCCCAATACTAAACCACGAGCCCGGGCCTCCCCCCAATACTAAATCACGAGCCCGGGCCCCCCCCCAATACTAAATTACGAGCCCGGGCCTTCCCGCAATACTAAATCACGAGCCCGGGCCTCCCCCCAATACTAAATCACGAGCCCGGGCTAAATCACGAGCCCGGGCCTCCAAATTACGAGGCCGGGCCTCCCCCCAATACTAAATCACGAGCCCGGGCCTCCCAATACTAAATCACGAGCCCGGGCCTCCCGCAATACTAAATCACGAGCCCGGGCCTCCCCCCAATACTAATTTACGAGCC